GGCCAGCTCATTGAAAGACGCTTCCAGGGCATTATCTTCTCTCAAAGCCTAGGGACCCTGAAGCTACTTACTGCAAACATGCTGGAACAAACAGGGCAGGCCTCTTGTGCGAGAAGTAGTACATGAGGTCAGGAAGGACTAAAGACAGATGGAATCCGTACACCAGCAACTTCAGAAAGTTACTTGACCTCTGCTGCAGGCAATTAAGCTGTGGTGATGAGGTGCCATCTAGTGTCCAATTCCCTATACTAGACTCCTTCAGTTCCTCAGCCTGCACTGTGCAAATCACTCGTGGCCCCAGATTTTTGTCACAAGATTCTCCCTGCCTTCCCTTCTCCAAAAGGGCTGGCACTGTACCAGCAACTGAGGACCTGTGGCAGCCCCCCAGTAAGGCATTAATTCTAACTGAGCAAAAGTCAGGTATGTCAGGAAGCAGGTATGCAACATCTGACCAACACATCTGCCTTCAGGAAAATGAGGCAGCCTTGGAGGTGCCATATTAGCTCTGAAGGTACAGTTTCCAGCAGCATGACAATAAGAGTACATGCCACATTTCACTGGTCCACCAAGTCCTCTATCCCATCTGTAACAGTAAAATAAAATGCCTGTGTCAGAGATTGCACCTGGTTCACTGTGCTTTCCTGTCCCATGGATCATATTTTTTTCTTGTTCCTCAAAATGGTGCCCAGCCTTGACCCTGCAGCCCGAGAATAGTTTTAGCTTGATTGGTCTTACTGCTGATGTTAGCATACTAAGCTGTTTGCTACCAGTTTCCTGGGGTAGAGAGTTCCACAGGCTAACATTGCATTACGTAAAAATAATTTCCTTTGATATACATTAAATTTGTTCCTAGTTACTAAATTAAGGTAGGAGTGTGTGACAAAAGCAGAAGATACTTTTTGAAAGTCACTCAGCTACAATTTGGGTTTAAGAAGCTGGACAGGAACATCTGCCAGATAGTTCTATACATTATTACAGAAAGGAAGTAGCCATCCAACAGAATTAACTAACCTGCTATCCATTGTCTTTAAAAAGGAGCAGTTCAAATTGAATTCAGGTGCCTGGCTCTGGTGCTCAAACTGCTGGAATGGGCTTTTGTCCTTGGGTAAGGACTACATGTTACCATCAGTGATTCACAAATTGAGGTCCCCATTGGCATGGGTAAAGGGAACACAAATCACAAAGCTGCCCTCTCACCCCCCATACACACATTTCCAGGTAAAAGGGAGTTAATCTACATACATAGTGGCTCATGAGAAACAGAGGTTTGATAGTGATCCATCAGTCCAAAAAAGTTTAGGACCTACTACTCAAGGATATCAACCCTCCACCCTCCCAGGCCAGATCCAGACTGCAGGGCTGTGGGCTGGGCCCAGACATGGTAGCAATGGGGCAAGTGGTAGGGGTGGGAGTTAGCACAGCCATTGATTGCCCTCTGTCACTTGGGGAATCTCCAAGGGTCATTTCTAAGCATGAAACACGTTGCCTGTTGCCCCACAGGATCAGGCCTCTACCCAATGTAGGACATCAGGCAATGTGCATTTTGCGCAATGAAGTGGATCTGCTGTGGTGGGACACAGCCTGCCACAGCTGATCCATTTCATTTGACAATGTCTGATTATAGCAGAGAGAAGCAGCACAGCCCTTTACACACTTAGCCTTTCCAAGTTGTATTGCTGCACTTCTGCCAGCAAGTGGACAAGGAGAGCCCACAGACTTACAGGCTTGTCCCTGGAATGACTGGCAATTAACTAGAATAGGTCATGATTAATTTAGCCATATGCAGCATGGAGGTGGGGAGGAGAGTATCAGCACATTTTATCTCACATACTTCACAGGTACTTGAAACTGGACAACGGACTAATACTTCTGTAGAATCACAAGACAAAAGGCTTTCTCCTGGGAGAAATGCTACATCTATTTACACCCTTGCACGCTGTTTCAGTGTTCAAGTTTTCTAGACGACAGATTATTTCATCAGATGCTATGAATGAGTGAATCACAGCATCTGAAGGAGTAGGCTGTCGCCTACAAAAGTTTATGCCTCTCTAAACCAGTTAGTCTCTAAGGGCACCTATACACAAGCAGCAAGGCTGCTCCAACATGTTGTAATCCCAGCACATCAGAGCAGACTCGATAATCAAATCTGCTGGAGTGTGGTCATTGTCACATTACCATGCTCCAACAGCCTCCAGCGTCTCATGTATTGGCATCCCCATGCTTTAAAATGGCAGCAGGGATGCATTCTAAAGCTCACTCAATAAGCTTTAGATAAAGCACCCCTGCCATCATTTTTAAGCAAGGGGACACATACACGAGGCACTCTGGGCCCTTTAATTATAGTGACTCTCAAATCCATTCTAATTAAAGCTCCCTACCCACTCCTGGAGCATGTGTACGAACACCCTAAGATGCCACCCTGCCCTGCCTTCTCTCTAACTTCAGACACAGCTAACTACTTCTGTTTCTGAGGATTAGGAGAAGAATGTCACAGGCAACCTAGTTCTTAAGTAGCACATCCACACAATGACATCCCAAATCAAGGGGGTGCATGTGGAGTCAGGGATCCTATAGCATTTTCCCTTGGCAATTTCTGCATGCAGGTGCATGTAGAACCTCAGCCATATATTAATTGCAAGGACTTTTCCTATCTTCATTCCAGATGTAAGCAGTCACAGGTATAGGATGAACTGAGGTTAGACAGCTTGCTACAGGTCACTGACACTTCCATTTCTATGACATCAAGGAAATGGTGAACAGGACAAGGATGACAACCAGATGACATCACCCCTCCTGCAAGGAAGGGCAGAAACTCTAGAACCTATTCACACAGTAGTCATTCAGACTGCAGAGTTCTCTTCCACAACTGTGACCAGTATGTGTCTGAGTTGTTTGCTTGGATGTTATGTTGCATTTCTTTGGATGGGTTTTTTTCTGGCAAGGAAAGTGTTAAAAGCTGGATTGCGGAAGGACTAGGTGAGGCCTGGCTAATGGCACACTGCCATCTGGATGGTGAGGGAAGGATGAATCCTGTTTTTTTCTAGAAGTTTGTGGAGGTGGGGGAGGAGATATAAGCAGGGGAGCTGGAGAGTGCATGTGCTTGTGCCTGTGTGAGTCTTGGCCAGCCTGCTGGAGTCCATGGAAGCCTGCTGTTGCAAAGCCCCAGATAGTGGAGATAGGGGGAGTCTGCCACATGGGGACAGCAACTGAAAAGGCTAGAGAGGTGGGGCAGAGGCAGTGGGCTGTCAGCAGAGAAGCTGAGACCTCTGGGGACAAAGAAGAGTTCACTCAAGGGACAGTGACAATTCCCACCTGCCACTGGAATCAGCCAGGGACTGAGAAGAAAGCACTGGCCTGTTGCAAGAGTGAAAGTGTCAGGAGTTATGTTTGATTTGAGCCTGTATTTTTATGTTCCATCTTCCCCAGTTCCATTGTAGTGTTGTCTCTAATTATTAAAGTTGTTTCATTTAATTCCTAAATTTAACTGTCCTTTAATTGGGTCTCTCACCTCATGGGGCGTTTGTACCTTCATGGCCTTGGCTGACTCAGGGTCCCATCACAGGAACCAAATGCATAGCGTTTCTGAAAGCTCCTGCTTCCACTTGTTTGTTCCATACCAAAGTAACACTGGCTATAGACTGTAGGGACACCGACATGTGATTTGGTGATGTAAATATCTAGAAAAAGGGTTATAGTCACTGCTGGGAAGCTAGAAATTGTTCTGAGTAAGCTACAAGGAGTAGATGAGTTATTCACTCAACTCCCAGAATCCTGATCCGAAGCCAGGAGCACTTGGAGGTCTCCAGAGCACATTGGAACTCTGGTTTACCCTGCGTTCTTTACATCACCCCCCCGCTGAGGTGTCCAATCTCAGACTTCTTTGAACTAGGCACAATGAGAACTTGTTCCAGTTGGCAGCTCTCAGATAGTATTCTTAAATCAGTACAATACCACAGATGGGACTCTGATTCTTACACTCTGCCTCTTGTACTCTATCCAGAAATCAATGCTCAGAGCTTAGAGGCCACAGTATAAGAGGAATACCAATTTAACTGCACATTATAATACCTGCCTAGCAATATAATGGGACCTACACAAAAAGCCAAAATTGTATCTGCCTGAGATGGGGAAGAGAGCTCAAACCTAAGTTTTAGGCTAAATTACTGTATGATGTGGAAAGCAAAATGTGCATTTCACAGCATCATATTTAATAAGAATGATGTCACAAGACCCTGATTCAGTTAGCACAGAATCTACTCTTTGACATAGAATGGAGCTTATTTTTAGCTCTTACAATTGCAGAGAAAAAGCAAAGACAGTGCTTTTCAGCACAGCCTGCACATAGCCTGGATCAGCCCTCAGAACCATGGCAATAAACTGTTTTCTCTGATATCTGATGGTAAGCATTTCCAATTTGTTAACTACACTGTTGATCATTTTAGTAGAAACTTACAGATACTGTGATTATACTCACAATCCAAATTAGCCTTCCACAATTTTCCAGGTACCAAAAGACTGCAAAGGTCTCTCCCCAATCAGAATTTCCATTTTCCCCACATCTACAATGCAGTCAAGCACATTCAGACACAAATATCTGCAGCAGGGTAAATGACAGATTTTATAGGATTATTAAATCAGCAACTATAATGCTGATTAAATTTGCATAAATTCACTAAACTATTTCCTTTTTGAATTTCCAGATGCTGCACTAGACTTTCCAGACTGATGCGGTGAGACACCCCACTAGCTAGCAAGATTTGCTGCAGAATTCTGTTCTGTTTCCAAGGAGTGCCTAGGATCCTTTGATGAATCAGTCCAGAAGGCAGAGGATAGATGAGATGTCCTGCCCAATTCAATGAGGCAGACTCAAAAGATCTAGAAGACTCTTTTTCACAAAGATGCCTAACCAAGTCAGGATCCCTGTAAATCTCCCATGAATTCCAAAGCAAGGCAGCAGCATTTTTAAAATATTTTATTTATTATACAAACTATTTACAAAATCTGCTACTATAACCATAGGCTTCCCAGATCCTGGCTGAACTCTGCTGGGAATTTGCCAGATGGAACTGGGGTCTGACCTGTTTCACCCACAGCTCCCAGTTTCTAAAACATGCAACATGGTTCTCAAGATACAGGCTGACACCAGGCCCTGTAAAGTCAAGGGGAGCTCCAGGGAGTAAAGGGTCTGTCTGAGATGGTACAATAAACCTAGCCTAACTTATTCTACTGAAGCGCTTCTATTAGGTAGGAATAAATAAGGAACCAACACAAAAAGAAAGAAAAAAAAAAAGAGGAAGCCTCTACAGCAGGAAAATACAGTACAGGCGACCCCAACACATCCTGTACGTTTGTCCCCACTGATGACAGTGCAAGGGCAGGATGTAAGATAGGTATGTTGGGAAGGGAAGAAATTTAGGAACAAGAAGATCCTTTATCACCAAAGTGATGGAGCTTGGTGTGGGGAGAGGGATGGGACCAGCCAAGCGCCAGTGGGACCAGTATAGGTTTTTAATCAGCTGAGAGCTAATAGCATTCACCACAGTTCTGACTGCATTTGTGACAAAAGAAAATCCTTGGCATCTGTACAACACAGCTGCATTGGGAGAGCGGGGGCAGCTGCAATGACACAAGGAGAGAGGGGTCAGGGAACTTGAAGCAGAGGAAGTCTGCCTTATATCCAGTCACTCAGTCCTCAGAGTGCAAAGTCAAGCTCTAGAGAAGGAAGGAGAGGATTCCTGAGGAAGATGTCATCAGCAGAATTGGCCAGTAGCCACAAGGCTGGAAGAGCCCTCACCAGGCAAGATTACAAGATGCAGGATTGCAATGCAGGGACAGCACCAAACTGTGCCTTCCCAATCCATGTGAGCTGAGCCAAGCAGCACCATCTTCTCTTGATCTGTGGGGAGAACAGTAAAGGGGGTGGCACAGTAACCAGGAGTGGCATCTGCACTGACCACAAGAGCCTTCAGTGCAAATGAATTGATACTATACTCTCCATCCAAAGGAGGCTGGAACCTTACAGAAAGGGAGTCTGCTTTAAAAAAGGGAGAAAAGCTGCTACTGAAGTGATCTGTCAAGAGAGGAACTGCAGGAGCTCTCTAACAGGCTGTCTCCCAGCATATCAGTGCCCAAGAGGGAGTGAATCCACAAGACTGAGAAATCCCCCTGAGTAGTATTGAATGCTTACAGCTCTGGCTGTTTTTTTGGCACCAAGATGGCTTATATTTCTGTACAGAAGTGACACATTTGCCCTAACAGCAGTTAAGATGCTGCCTTAATAAAAGGATTTCCTAGCTCTAGAATCTTCACACAAATTCCCAATTTGTTCAGTAAGTTTGTACTGGAAAGGTGCACAGTCATCATAAAAAGCCATCCCCCTATGAGTTGGCTCAGGTCAGGTAAACTACTGCCCAAGCTACAGCAGAACAGAGATGGAGGAAGATGGCACAATTCTTTATCGTATATGTTTTTCTAAAACTAGCTCTTAGAAGAGATGCCAGATTAAGATCTCGTCCAAGGAGATTAAAACCCCCCAACTCCAGTGGACAGGTATAGTACAGGCAGTAGCAGTGCAGGCTCCTCATGTGCTAGCCAATCACTAACATGCCCCTCCTCCCGACCTGGAGATATGCCCTCTAGGAGACAGCTGAGAGCGTAGAGATCTATTTAGATTTTGGACTCATTGACAAAACTGGCAAGATTCCCCGATTCTCCTGCCTTTTATTTCCAAAGGGTTGGAGGGCTGAGTGGACCATCAGAATTAAGACCTTGGTCATCAGGCTAGCTGCTCAGTGTCCATTTGGAAGAAGCTCCAGTTTTATGTCTACCGCTGGAACACCAGCAGCACTGACAAGGACAGCAAGAAAGGAGTGCTCAGAAAAGAGAACAAAGGAGGAGAGAAGGCCAGCTGCTCTCCAAGTACCAACAATCCTTTGGGAAACTCTGCCTGCAGCATGTTGGAAGAAGAGGAGTCTCCTACTGCCATGTGATAGAGGTAGAAGCAAAGACCCCGTGGAATGTCAGGGGCTGAGGTACTGGGTTCTGTCCCAATACCCTCACCCTAGTTATACTCCTGTACAAACATAAGCCCAATACAAGCAATAGTAGCTGCCTGCTGGCCAGCTGGCCTATCACTATTACTACATACATGCCCTGAAGATTAATGTTGGGATAGGTGTTGGTGTTCAGCATTGAAGGCTCACACACTCATACCCATTCCCTCTCTCCTGAGGAAGGGAAAGAAAGGCAAGGGGCATGGGACAGATTCCTGTGCAACATTTATGATCTCTGTCAAACATTCACCAGAGGAGAATCTCCTCTTCCAGTTCAGCTGCAGAGGCTCATGCCAGCCACTGACAAAAGAGAAGGATGCTTCTGCTGCCAGCCTCTGGTGGAGGTAGTACAGTGTCACTGCCAGGGCCAGCACTTGTGCTCAAGTAAGAGAATGTTCTCTCCTCTGGGCTGCTCCCTCTAGTATATGTTTCCATCTTTCCTCTGCAACAGGGTCAAGAGATGGCTGCATCCAGTGCTGTGGGGAGGGAGAGAACTAGAAGCCCTACTGGGCCAGGTACAGAGAAGGAGGGACAATCCAGTGCCCTGAAGAGATAAGCAATTCAAGGGGAATTATGCAAACTACAGGAGAGCATCAGCAGAGGGATCTAAACCAAGGCATGGAAAGTTATTAAGGCTTCTCAAAAGCCAGGTCTCCAACAGAACTCCAAGCTGGTCCTTCCCCAAGGCAGCTAGAGGAATGACATCTACACAGACCTCCTCCTGTACCTAACTGTAACTTCAGTTCACAGGCTTCTTCTCCTCAGAGGGATGGGTGCAGAGTCCTGGGAAATCCAGGTGCTGTACCATTCTGATGGATGACCATAGTCCCCTTGCCTTACCACCCTGAATTAAAAATAGGAGTGAGAGGTGGGGACAAGGTGAGCTCTTGGTGACATACTTTGGATGCGGAAAGGCCATGTAACATCATCTGGATGACAGACCTTGATGCACAGTCTGCATTCTGCCTCCATTGCCCATGTGAAGGGAAGAGAACAAGTAGTAGACTGGACCTGGGCCTTGTCCTGATGAGCCAGGAGGCTTGGAGGGCCTCTGAAGAAGGGAAATCACAGCATGCCAAAGCCCTCACAGCCCTCACTGATGGCCAGCTGCAGCATCTTGTGCATTTCTTCATAGGAGTCATAAGTAGGGAGGCACAGCTGGTTAAAACTGAAAGAAAGAAAAACATGGAACATGGAACTTTTCTGGGGTAGGAGAACAGACAAACACAAGCACCTTCAGCTGCTCAGTGTCCTGTAGATAGAGTAACACTATGTCCACCACATGTCTATCACTCATTATAAACCCATTGGGTATCATGTGCTGGCTACCAACAGTCCATGATGGCAGCCTGTCACACAACTTGCCACACACAAAGGGATGGCATAATTCTACATGCATGCTGTAGAAAATTGTACAGCCAGGATATTCACCAGGTGTGGGCCGTTGGCAATGTGCTATGGGTTGGAGCTGCAATTATCTGGAAAGATGGACAGAGTGCAGCAAACCCTCCTGGAGGCAGCTGAGAGGAACCAGTTGTGAACTGCAAGAGCCTAGCCAGTTCCTCCTGCGTGAAACTGGAAACCACAGTCCAAAACCACCTCATGACCTGAAAGAGAGCAAGGGCAAAGCCAAATCAGGGAAGCAGGTCAACAAGTATGCTGACAGCCTTCACAGAAAGAGCAAACAAAATGCCTTGCAAGCAAGTGGCTCTATGAACAGTCAAAGAACCTATTTGACCTAACATAGCAGCAGATTTATATTAGGAAGAAAAAATTTGCAGCCAGTTCTCACCAGCTAACATTTACCCCTCATGCTACCTCCCACCAGCCTCCTCTATTGTACTGGGAATGTCTCATCCATCTTTCAAACAGAGAAGCTCCCTTCTAATAGAAAGAGGAAGCGAGGTATGTTTAAGATACAAGATATATTTAAGATATATTTATATCCTGCACCAGGCCAATCCCTTTGCTTTCCCACTGTTCTTCTCCAAGTTTCCAAGTCTTTTGAGATTTCTTATTTTCCTTCCAATAGGCTGGCCTCACCTGAAGCTTAGCAAAGCAGAGGACAGCCAACTCATTTCAGTGACCTGCAGGAGGAAATCTCTTCCCACCTACCTTCTCTCGGAAGTGCCAGGACCCTCCTACAACCACAGCATGTGTCTTGAAATCGCAGACATTGATGTCTCCAGTACCACACATCAGCAACTGAAAGGAAACAGACCAATTGTTAAAAGAGCAGGAGCCCAGGGTACCTATGAGGTCAGTCACTATTCATGTTTCAATAGTTAGCTCTGTGCCTCTAGAAGGCATGCAAAATGCTCAGAATTCTGGGCTCAGGACACGAACAAAACCAATCAAACCTCAGTTTCAATCAAGAGTTAGGACAGCCTCTTTTACACCAGCAGTTTCTCCTGCTAGATATCAGGTAGGCTAAGGGTAAGTAACAAATAGCTACTATGGCAGGAAATAATGAAAGCCCTGAAAGAGGAGAGACAACATTTCTATGCACTCCTTTGTGCCCCTCACAGTACTCTATACAGATGAGGGCACTCATAACTTGGGAAACACCACTTGGACTTCACCTGCCTGAAGGCCCACAGCACAAATCTAAGCAGTGAGTAGATTTTGCAGAGGTGAGTCCCTGAGCCAGAACTGAGATGTGCAATATCAGAGGATCCAGGCTCTGATATTAAATGGAAAGCAGAGAGGTTGATCAGTAGAGCTGTGCGAAATTTCAGCAGCCATTTCGTTTCAGAGGTGTTTTGGTGCCCGAAACACCAAATCCAAGTTGAAATGGAAGGCTCAGAAACATCTCTGAAACAAAACGAGGCACCTGAAATGTTTCGGAAAATTTTGGAGTTTTGGAGCTGGGCTTGCAGAGAGACAGCTATACACTGCTGCCCTGCCGCATGACTCTGCTCCACAGCGAGCAGAGATCCATGCCAAGGCTCTCCTTGCCACAGCTGCCCGCCCCGCGCTGCCCTGGTAGAGCAGAAATCCGGAGTTGCACAGGGCACCGCGACCCGGCGTGACAGGGATCAGTGATCTATGCCAGGGTCTCCCCGCCTGCCAGAGGGCAGCGGCATTTGCCCCGGACAAGCCACCCACGGCTCTGTCCTGCTCCCCGCTGGGGCCCTGTAGCTTTGGCTGAAACACCAAAACAAATCACTGTCCTCTGAAACGGCCAAATCTGAATTGAAACACAGTCATTTCGCACAGCCCTACTAATCAGGGCCCATCTTGCCTTGGATTCAGTAGTAGTGTAGAAGGCCAAACTTCAATTGGCCACATCCTCCCACCTGCCACATGAGGCTTTTGGAACCAAGCAGCTTTGGCAAGACTTCTCAACTACCTCAAGTTGACATTAAAAGCATCAATGGCTTAAATACACACTAAGGTTGCAAGCACTAGTGATACATTATTATTCCTGCAAACAGACTATACCCCAAGAAGGAGGATTCACCATCTTAGTGTTTTGTGTCTCCTATGCAAACATTCACAGCTCAGTTGGGGGTTCAGGAACACTGTAAAGTGCTAACTCTTCTCAGCTCCAATCAGCAATGTTCAAAATCCCTCAGCAGGGACTGGGGTGGTACAGGTGCTAAGGTGAGGTTGACAGCCCAGAAGTCACAAGTTCGAGGGCTTAGCAGAAGTGCCCATGACACAGCCTTGTCAGATTCCAACAAATTTATAAATTCTGCTAAATACTTTGTCACAAGGACATGAGGAAGGAAGGAACATCCCCCAAGCAGCTCCTCTATCGTCTGGGAGGGAGGGTGCGGAGGTAATGGGATAGCTCAAGAATAGCATGTCCTACCTCAAGTTCATTCTCATCAAAAATAGCCAGAAGGTTTTCCGGAACCAGCTCATTGAGGCCTAAAAGAAGACAGGTGAGTGAGTGCATGTCAGACGGGGGTGTCAGAATCAAGCAGTGAGCACACAGCATGTTACCTTTCAAGAAGTGATCCACCTCCTCTCTAACCTGATTGGCCAATCTGTACTGAGCAAGCAAATTCAGATATAAAATCTTGTTATCGTTGGTTACTGGGATCTGAGCCCCTCCGGTTACCAGCTCAACCACCTGAAACAGGAGAGCACACAAGGACACTGGTGTAAAGATGAGAAGTAAGAACTCGCACCAGAGAACCCTCTTATTGCTGTACTGCTGGTAGATTTCCTTCTCTTGTCACTACTGTACAGGCAACCCAGGCAGATCCCAACCATTTCCCTTACAGATTAGAGAACTACCCTACCCGTTGGCACCAACTCTTACCTTCTCCAGCTGCCCTGATTTGCTGTATTTCTCCTCAGCAAAGACCAGCTCCATCTCACTCACATCATTGTTCAGTATAAAGCAAACCTTGGATTTATAGAACTCCGGGTCATCTGTTTCAAAATACTGAGGAAGAGAAATAGATAGGATGTGAAGAAAAAACTAATGAGATGGATTTAACATACATGGTTGACCAAGATTTTTGCTCTGCTAGGAGCATATTCATGCTCAACCCTGTTGTCCTGCCCTGGTGCAGGCTTACAATGGGGGCCAGGGCAAGCCTTACCTTGTAATGCATGCGTAATCCTATGATCTGAGCCAGGAAAGATCGGGTGAAGCGAGCTCGTACCAGCTGCTTGTAAGCCCCTCCCAGAGATGACTCGTAGAGACACTTCCCTACCAAGCGCCCTGCAAACTCATACACCTTCAGTCTTAGATGAGGGGACCGACCTGGGTTGGGATGCACCTGCAGAAGAACATGATCAGAATCATAACAATACCACCAGGGTTATCTCAAGTGACAGGAACAGCCCCATGGCCCCCTCCTGTTATGTATATATAGTATGCAGGAAGATGCTCTGACAGCTCTAGAATGGTATTTTAAATATAAACATAGATTCATAGCCTTTAAGGCCAGGGGGGACCATTTATTTACTCTGAACCTGAGTAAAATAGTATATCCACTGATTTGGCTCAGTACTTCAAGTAAAGCTGTTGTCTTCTCATGCTACTGAAGAAACTTGAGGGCAGCTTCTTCACACTCAAGCAGCAGAAATTCAATGTCAAAGTCTGGCCAGGAAAGACATAACATACTCCATATGTACTGGTCTCACACAGTACACAGAAGCATTTGCCTTTCCCACCGCAAAAACATGAACAGATCCCAGAGAACAATCACACCCTGAAACCAACAACGCCTCTATGTAGCAAGATATGATGGTGCCCACCCCATTCAACTTGGAAATCCATGTTTCCCTACTACTGAGGAAACCTCTACTATCATTCCACCCAATTTTTTGACTCTGTAACACTGGGACAGCCCAGCAAGAACCTGGGGTGGGGGGAAGAGTTAGGACGGTTCCAGTTCAGGCCTACCACTGGCAGCAATGAGTAGGTTTAGCAAGATTTGACTTTTATTGGTAAACTATAATAAATGTCAATTTCACCATGCACACACAGACCAACAAAAAGATATTTCCATCATTAATAATTACAATTTAGAGAAAAGGAATGTAAGAAAAATGATGACTGTTGGAGCATGTGACAACAGGGGGAACAGTCCTACAGAACTGTGCTGACTGTAGCTTGGATTGCAGCTCCCTGAAACCCCAGGGGACTGGGAACAAAGGGAGAGGAAATGACAAAGTGAACAAGGGAGCTATGGGTAAGTGGAGCCAGGAATAACAGCTGCTCTGTCACTCAGCTGGCAACAGCCCTATTGTAGTTATGTTTGTCGTGGTGGGCAGCTAAACTGCACTATAATAATAGTATACTGTCATTAATAAATTGTCTGCTCCCCACAGCCTTAATTTTGCGCAATCCTGAAAATTGAAATTGACAAAAAACAAAATAAATGCTTAAAAATAAACATTAATATTATCAATCAAAATTATTTAAAAAAATTGAATTCTGCCAAATCTAGCAATGAGTGACAACTTTCTGCTGCCTTTGCTGTTTATAATATGGTATGCCCACATGCCCAGTTCTGTCATTTCAACAAAGAAGCTGTGGACTCACCAGTGCCTGGTTGTTATCACTGAAGCGAGTAAAGAGCTGATTGGTGGTGTCAAATAAAGCCTTACAGATCAACTCAAACCACTCTCTGCGTGGGCCTCCCCAGTCCAGAGCTACAAGAAAAAACAAGTTGAGTCAGGTCCAGGGCCAAACCATCTCTCTGTTTCCTTAACAATTCTTCCAGTCCACAGAGGTTAGGAAGACCACCTCCCCTCAGGACAGAACATATGTCCAAGTCATTGGAATGTGCAAAGCATGCTTCCCAATGTCAGATCCCAGGAGATTAAATAAATGGCTGGAACGGGAGCCATTAAATAAATGGCTACTCACTTTTTCCCTAAACTGCCTAATTTCCTGTTCATAGTGCTGAAAGGACTTTCCACTCACTCTCAGTTTTAGTTTCATATAGATGATGTGAGGATAGACTACATTACATTTAACTTCACATGGATAAATATGGCTGATACCTCTCCCTGCATCAGTCATGTTTTCTTCTCTCCACAAGGTCATACTAAAGCAGCCATCATTTTACTAGTGTCCATTCATAGAATCATAGGAAAATAAGGCTGGAAGAGACCTCCTGAGGTCATCTAGTCCATCCACCTGCTTGAGGTAGGATCATCCATATCTAAACAATCTCAAGCAAATCCTTGTCAAACCTATTACTAAAACAACTAACACAGGCAACCCTGTCACACAGCTAGAAAGCACAGCACCTTAACCTGCCACAAGAAACGAGGGGGACAATGGTAGCCAATGTTCTACTGCTGCAAGGGTTGTTAAAACACACGAGAGATCCAAGGAAGCAGGCCATGCCCCCTGCTACAGAGGAAAGCCAAGTCCCTCACAGTCCATACCATCTGACCATGGGGTAAATTCCTTCCTGACCGCAAAAATGAAGACTGGTCTGACCTCGCATGGAGGGGCAAGACCCTCTGGGTTTTAGTAAAAGAAGCATTGGCACATCTCAGTTAAAATCATCAGCAAACACCCAATATTAATATAAATACGTTAAACAGTACTGGGCCCAGGACAGAGCCCTATGCAACTTCGTTTGCAGTCTCCTGCTATTCCGACATGGATCCATTTATAATTACCCGTTGCTTGCAGCTATCAACCAAGTTGTCTATCCACCTTTTTGGAAAAACCCAGCTACATACACTAAGTGGGAAAGTCTTATAAAGACAACACTGGACTGAGGTAGAGTTACCATATTTCCATTTTCAAAAAAGAGAACACCTGTCAGAAGGAAGAGGGTAATATGATGGTGGGGAGGGGCAGTGCCCATGCCCTGCCCCTCACTCTGAAGCCATAGCTCCCCAGCCCTGCTGCTGTCCCTCACTCCCAAGCCACAGTACCCTGCCCCCCAGACCTGCCCTGTACTCCCGTTCCAGTCCCCTGCCTCCTTGGTACTCCTCGCTCCCAAGCCACAGCTCCCTACAGTCCTGCCAATGCCCCTCGCTCCCGACCCGCAACTCCCTGCTCCCCCCAGCCTTGTAGCATCTCCTGGCTGCCCCACCCCTGTGAGCACGGGCACCAGCCCTGATGCTGCTGGCCTGGCTACGCAGCTCCCTGCTGCCCCTGAAGGGCCCCCCCGGCCCCCTTTCCCCACTGGAGGAGCAGGTGTCTCCCCCATCTTGCTGTGGCTCCAGCACCTGGACAGCTTCCCCCAGTGTTGGCAGGCACCTGGCCTCCTCACACACCTATTCCCTCCACACACCCTGCTCCCCCTCTGCCCCCACCCCACACTCCTAAACAGTCCCTAAGCCCTGGCCCACCAACCCCACCCTCCATAGATTTACCTACATCCAGCTGCTGAGGCTGCTCCCACCACCTTGGCTGGCTGCATGCCAGCTATGTGCATGTGTGAGTGCAGATGCATGTGACACCCTCTGCCTCCAGTCGCTCTTCCTCCACTCCTCCCAGCTCCAAGCAGCAACTTGCTAGAGCAAGCCAGGAAGTGCCAGGAAAAACTTTGATGCTGAGCAGAGCAAAATTCCAGACGGTTGTTGACATTTTAAAAAACTGCCTGGACGGAGATGAGAGGACCCAAAAAAGATGACATGTCCAAGAAAACCCAGACATGGTAACCCTAACTGAGGCTCAATTCCCACATTGCCACAGACTTAATGAATTATCCTAGGGGAGTCATTTAATCTCTGTTCCTCAGATCCCTACCTATATAATAAGGATAATCTTTTTCTAGCTCAGAGGAAGCTGGGAGGTTAAATTCATTTGTGCTTGACAGAACCTATGGGAATGGAGACCCAAGCAGGATCTACTTCCAGACATTTTTACTGCAAGGCAGCCACAATTTCTCACTAGTGACTTCACATGTGCTCCCCTGCACAGAAACCCCTCAAGCACATTCACATTTTTGGAAGAGCAAGTAAACTCACCTTCTTCATCCTGGAAAATCACTTCAAAGTTTTTGCTCCAGTCAGAAACAGAAAAATTCCGTGTTGCTTTCAGAGACTGTGAGAGCGAAAGGAAAAGTGTTAAGAGCAGTCAGGGGCAGATTCCAGGGGGATGCAGTGATGCAGTTACACCTCCATTTGATTCCTGCTCCATCCAAAGTTTAAAACCAACTGCCTGGCAGTGGCAGCAGCATCTTTATTCAGGCAGCAGTGAAGGAGTCATTTAACTTAATGGCTCACTTTAATCTACCTCATTTCTTCTAAAGTTTTCATTCCACAGGTGTTAACAACTCTCTCTCTCCTTTTCAATGATACTGATATTCCACTAATCAAATTATTCTTTCTTCTGCAGTTCTGCCTGTTAGCTGTTCCTGGTAATGTAACTCCTATTTCGCAACCCTACAGATTACTTTTAATTCTTGCTAAAAATATTAACTCAGGATTAGAAACGTTAACTCAGGTGCAGAAATAATTTTCAATGAAGCATTGAATACATTGTTAAAATGCTCAAGAAGGCTAGATTTTGTTTTATGAATCTGAAAGAGAGAGATGTACATTTAATTCCAGTCACTACAGGACTAATCAAACAGCACCTTTTGATTATTTTCTACTGAGTTTGTAGTGTTTTTATACACAATATATGATATAGCAAACTAATATACATTCCAATGAAGTTATATTTGTTTTTTCTTCAATCTTAAACTGAATCATATAGCCATAGGCCCCTAGAATATTACTAAAGTTTCTAGTTTCTTTTTGATTGGAGAAAAATATGCACTGTGTTATATTTGTGATGATGCATCACAGCATCTGCACTCCACTTTTCAAAATTCTAGATCCACCCATAGCAGCAGTGATCATTGCCTACTGCACAGCTGCCAGCATGAGATCCGGCATCCATGTGTTTGGGGGAGTTAAGCAATGCCAAATGAAAAGGGCTCAGTCCCATAGTCTGAGCACGTGACTGGGGGCTACCTAGGAATTCCTACGGCCTTGGACAGGCCAATTCTCTGTCTTCATTATATATGGAAGAGAGACATTCCCCACATCCAAGAGCTCTTTGCCTCTAGACTAGAACAAGGTTTCTGTAGAAGCAACGTTGTCCAGTTTACAGTATTAAAATGTCTGTAGCCAGAAGCAACTTAAAACATCTCAGCTCTATCTAGCCTATCAGTCAGGTTTTAAAAAAAGAGCCCTTCAGAGAACAAATAGAAGAGAGGAGCCCAGAGGTGTCCTTACATTTATATTAATCTTTAACAGCATGAATTGCTTAAACAAACCTTTTCAAATGACTGGAAGCACATGAGCTCAGGCTCTTGAGTCCAATTAAAAATCAAGGGCCAATACTACAATACTACTGAGGAGAGACTGGGGCACCTGGACCTCTTCAGCCTCTGCAAGAGAAGGTTGAGAGGCGACCTTGTGGCTGCCTATAAGTTCATCACGGGGGCAAAGAAGGGCATTGGTGAGGTTTTATTCACCAAGGCGCTCCCGGGGGTTACAAGAAATAATGGCCACGAGCTAGCAGAGAGCAGATTTAGACTAGACATTAGGAAGAACTTCTTCACAGTTAGAGGGGCCAAGGTCTGGAACGGGCTCCCAAGGGAGGCGGTGCTCTCCCCTACCCTGGGGGTCTTCAAGAGGAGGTTAGATAAGCATCTAGCTGCGGTCATCTGACCCCAGCACTCTTCCCTGCCTATGCAGGGGGTCGGACTCGATGATCTATTTAGGTCCCTTCCGACCCTAGCATCTATGAATCTATGAATACACTTGAGAGAGCCCTGAATGCAACAGTACTAGCTCAGGCTGATCTTCAATGAAAGCAGAGCATCATGCTAGGCACTGATTAGCACTAATTCTCTGGTCACATTTGTTGCATCTGTCACCCTCATATACTGAATGTTTGCATTAGCCCCACTCTTATCTACTTTGATCTCACCTGGTTACAAATAGGAGAGCTAATGATTTTGTAACACTTTCCAGCATAACAGGGGAAGAGTCCCTGAAACCCCTGTTAGGGATGAGAAGAAAATTCTAACCAATCCTCCCTCCCTCCACAAGCAATCTTCTCCATTTCTATTAAATTCTACACCAAAACACACTTGGAAATACAAGCCAAGAGAACCATCTGTTCTTTGTAAGTGACATTTAGAACATCAGTGATATTTAGAATGTCAGTTAAGAGATGTATTATATGAAAGTCTCTTTAAGAATTCCAGTTTCGGAAACACAAATAGCATCTTGAAGTCAATTTTAGTCAAGTCTCAGTACTAATGATCTGGGGAATACTTTGCAATAAGGGTGAACCAGTGCTGTAACACCATCACTGGCACAGCCCACATACCGCAGCTTGGTCTCACCTAATGAGACAGCATTTCCCAGTGCTTCTGAGTTCTCGCATAGAACAGCAATCAGGACAGGACTTCTTTCCATTTTTCTACAGAACTCTCTAAGGAACCAAAAGAGCTAGGGTTCCCCCACTACTCAGAATATCACTTGTTCTTCTGGTTTAAGGGGAAGGTACAGAGTTGCCCACAAGCAAGAAGGATCACAAAATCTGAACAAAACATTTTGGCCTCTTCCCAGACAGCACCCAAGGCTCCTTCTATTACACATACAAACTCACAGTCTCTTTTAGCTGTAGCAGCCACACTACTACCATACCAGAAAAACCAACCGCCCCTTAAAAGTCACTGTGAAATATATATATCAAGGCTGCTGGTACAGCTTTCAAAGGAAGGTATATTATGAGGATTTAACTACTAACCAGGCAGTAATTTCTCAGGGGTACTCTTTGTACTCCGTTTCCTTAAGATAGCCATCAAATTATACCTTGAAGCTAGAGGATCAAATATTTGCGTACAAATACCCTAGCTTTTGCCAATTTGAATGTCATTAGATATACAGGATGGCAAAAAAAAGTAACAGGGAAGTGTTCTGGGCATAGATGGAGCAGCCTGTGCACAGGGTCTCCTAAGGTGCCACATGTCACTCACCGATTCCAGCAGGCTATGGCGGCTGACCTTCAATGTAACCTTTGAATGGGGTCTCTTCATATGCACTTGACGCAGCTCCCGCTGGAAGAAGTTCACTTTGTCCTGAAAAGTCTCAGAGCCTCCTGAAAACAGTGATCCCATGGTCACATCAGAGGTGCCAACACCTCAAATGTCAAGGGGATTTCTATCCCTATCTACACAGGACAGCTTTACAGTCAGAGGGTGACTCTGCCATGGAAAGGCTTGGAGAACAGAACTGTGAAGGGACAGCTTGCAGTTAGTCTCTCAGGCATTCAGCCATTCATAGAGATGGCTTTAGAGGGATGAAAGAAAACACTGCATAGACAGCCAAGGGCAATGAACTCTATTCACTGGAAGTGCCATCACGAGCAGAAGGGGAGGTGCTCTACAATTCCTAGAGAGATTATTTAACTCTAAGCAAAACTAAAAGTTCCAAGTGCTAACTCTCTTTCTGCAGCCCTGTGAAGCCTGCAAGGTGGGGATGCAGCCAGGGTCCTCTGATCACAGTGCCTATCCCCTCCCAACCCCTTTTACCTATGTTTTTATGTAGAGAGCGAATGAAAGTGGCTGCCAAGATGTTCCTCTCCTTGCAGCTGAGCTCCACGGGGGGCTGGATCCCATCATCCACCACCAGAGTCAGCAGCTTGTGCACAGGGTCAGGCCCAAGGTAAGAAAACTAGCAGCAAAGAGATGCGGGACAGGGGTGAAACAATGGTGCAGAGAGCACTAGGTGTGCAGCAGACACACCTTCTGTGCACATACCTTCCTCTCTGCTCACCCACATGGAACCAGTTGACAGGAATCCTGTCTATAGCATCTGGACCCCAGCTAGGGTATTGTATCTGTAAATCTCACTTCAGAGAGCATGGGTTTCAGGGTGCACTAACTAGCTATGTTAGTGGATTATGGAGAAGGCAGTGAGCAGAAATACAGGGAGGCAGTAAAGGATTATGCCTAAAGTCCTGATGTTGTGCTAGGAAGGAGAGAAACTCCTGTCCCCCTTCATAAACGTTTCCAACATAGAGGCAGTAAAAGTGCATTTAGAACTCCCAGATCTCATGTGCCTAAGTGCTGTCTGCTGGGAACAGTTCCACTTCCCCAACAGCCAGCCCAACAGGTAGCTCATCATTCAGCACCATGAACTGATAGTTTCAAGAGAAGCTGGATGTAGACAGACCCACCTTGGTGCCTGGGCACACTCTAAAGGTGAAGAGGCGCCAAGGAATGATCTTCAGATAGAATTCCTTCACCGAGAATTGCTGGGGGGCCAAAGGGGAGAGGAACCATTAGTGACCACATTTTCATTAAAGCTCTTTAGCTTAGACTCAAGATATAGGATAGACAAATCCACCAGAAAAGCCTACTTCCCAAGCCAGGGGATAAGCTCCTAAGCAAGCCAAGCTGCACCTTGGGACAGTACATAGTTTAAGGGTCCCCCCAGTTAGCAATCAGGGAGAATAGTAATTGTAAGCTGTTCAACAGGAAGACTTTTACACCATTTCTGTGGGCTTTGCTGTCATTTAAACAACACAGCAGTAAGTCAGGATGCTCATATTAGACCATTGATGCAATTCCTTTGATGGTAAAAACAGCATCTGAGAGGGATGAGATTGAGCCTAGGACAGGAATAGCAAGGAATGCTACAGACTTCGAGAAAGTGAAAGGGTCTGGGGAAATTTATTCTGTGCCTACCAGAACTCCTATCATTATTCTTTCATTTTCATGAGAATCAGTTTTAAACAATTTAGTAAAAGTATTTGCAGCTGCTGAACTGAGTGAGGCTCAGACAATTTGCTGTCCCATCTGCAGGGGAGTTGAGGTAGAAGATCCTCAGCTGCAGAACCCTACATCTTAGCTCCTAAGGGTACAGGATTCACTTCTGCAACAGACTCTTTCAGAAACAATGCCTAGGAAGTGGTCAGCAGCATTTCTCCAGGAATTGGACAAGTAGGGACAACAATGTACCTAGAAATAATGGGACAGACTGCACAAAATCTCTTGGACAAGGGAGATGTATGTATATGGTGCCCAAACAGTACACTGATGAGTTCATCAGAAATGTAAATATTAGTTAGATGCCAAAGGGACCTCTTCCAATAAAAAGCTGCATCTGAAACACGTCATTCATAAAAACTTCCAATATCAAGTAACTTAACAATGCATTATCAGAGAGTGAAAAACTACTAAGTCCTTTCTCTTACCATCTCCCTCACAAGACACAGAGGTGTTTCTCAATTCCACATTCAGTAGTGCTGCACTGAGCCCAGATTTAAAAAGTCCTGGTCATGTGGCTTCCCTCTCTGTCCCTGCATTTTTTCACTGACTCATCTCTCACAGGAAGATTTCTCCTAATTTAGTTTGGTACTGGTGCATATTATTACTTCTCAGCCACTTGTAGGCTTAGATCATGTGGTTATATCCAGAACCCCATCTAGGTTAATAGACTGGCAAAGCAGTATTCAGTGGACTTTGAGGATTTTTGTGTTTTTTGTGGCATCTGTGGCTGCTCTGCTTGAGATGGGAATTTTCTCAGAGGGAAGGGACCCCTGGCTGCCGTCAACATTATTATGCTGGAATGCTGTAAACATTACAGTGGAAAAGGCTGTTACTCATTTCTTAATTTCATCTGTTTTTCCATACTCATAAACTCCCTAGATCAGTAATGTTCAACCTGTGGCCAGTGGGCCAGATGCAGCCCATGAAATCATGTGATTTGGCCTCACAGGGCCCCTGCAAGTCCAGAAGTTTTGTGGCAGGGGAGTAGTAAAAGCCCTAGAACCAGCTTCATTGGGCTTTGGATCAGATCCATGAAGAGGCAGTTTTATCTTACTGCTAAGTGACATAATGCTTCTGAATATGTAGCCTTAAAACTTCAGTAGCCTTTTTTAATGACATATTAATTTGCAAACGAAGTTATCCTTCCCATTTCCTGCCCTGGTCTCCCTAACATTTTTTCTGCTTCCCAGGTTTCTCTTTCCTATTTTATAGTTAGGCAAGTACTCCTACCCCCCCAACCCCACCAAAAAGAGTTTAAACCACTTTTTCTAAAGCTGACCCTCACTTTGATCCCATCACCATACTTTTGGCATGTTTCCTCTTGTAGCTCTCAGCCCTCACTGTGGTTCAGAGTTTCTTCCAATCTGGAATCTCTGAATTTAAATATGCTCCCATTTCTCCACCTTCAATGGAGATGCTAATCAAAGTCAGATCCAACTCTGAGCCCTCTGGCCTTTTACTCGTCATACTACAAAAATGCCTAGGAGCTCCAATCAGCATCAGCGCCTCGAACAGTGTCCAACAGAAAAAGAATACAGGAAAACATGGTCCTTGCCTTAAGAAGTTAACACCTTCTCCACAACCCCTACACTTCAGTGTACTGCAAACCCCATTTCTAGTTGCTGAGAAGCCTCCTCTTGAGAAAGGTTGTTCAAGGAACAACATGACTTAATTCTACAAGGCGTCCACTATATTCATTCTCTGTCTTTTAAGTTTATATCTCGGGGGCCTTCAGGGGAAATAAAAAGTCAAAGGAAAAGATGATGAAACAGCAAGTTAACGCATGCACAGACCAGATACACTTTTCCAGCCAAATTGGAGGTGTCTATAAATAAGCCAGGGGCAAAGGAGAATGGCAAGCTTTGAAATGACAGAACATTTGGACTACATGCTAACAGCAACCATGCAGCCTTTACCTTGGGTGACACGTAACAATACACCTTTTTGGGTTTCTTCACTTTCTCAGGGGTCTGGCTGTCTGAGGGAGAGTCTTCATCCTCATCCTCAGTTGCAGTAGAAGGACGGCGCTGGGAGGAACCCAGGTGTGTGGGTGGGAGGTGCCACTGAGTATTAGTATAGCTAGTAGCATTGTAAAGGTAGGCCTCAAAGTAGATACTGACCCCTGAGGTGGACACATTGCGCTCCACGATGTTCTTTTCATTCTCTGAAGGACACAGATGAAACAGGAGTAAAACTTGATGAAGCCAAGAAACTAAGCTTGACATCTCTCATTAAGCTCAGTCTGCAGGACAGCACTGGGTCAGACAGTTTGAAGAAAAGGGGCAACCAGATAAGGGGGAATATGGTCAGGTAAATCTATGATGAAGGGGACCCAGGAGCAGAACATGAAGCCTTTCACCTCTAGCACATCAGTGCTTGGCTTCTCTGGGTTGGGGGAGATGGGAGAGAGGAAGAAAGAATACCAACATTTTCACTTCTGGAGGAACAGTGCTAACCTGATTCCAATCTGAAGTCATAACCATATGACCTCTATTCAGCAAGTTTCCACAAAATAAATTAATGTGAGTGCTACCTGAGGGGCAGATAGCAACTTTGCAAAATGACAAATAAGAAAATTCCTAGCTTTCAAACAGTGCTCATCATCTGTAAATATCAAAGCAAATCATATCAATGACCCACTCGTAAGCCCCTGAGTCAACAAGAACCAAGCAGGTCATACAAATGCAACAGTCCAATCACCATAGAGGTTTCACCATAAGGCAGGGAAGAAGGCCCATCAATATTATACCTTGGGTAGAGATGGGAAACACCTGCTTCCAGAGCTTTCTACTTGGCTTCCTTTGGCAGCACCAACCTCACTTTATTTAAAATAGCATTTTGTAAAGAATGGACATACCTGGGGCAACTGAGCATGACTGGCATGGAGGGAAGCCACATTTAACTCAGAAGCCAGCTCTACTGGGCTACAGCACATGGTACCCTAATAGATATGTGGAGAACCAATTGGAAACTGAGCACCTCTTGACTCACCACTTAGAACAATGATGTCAAAGTCACCATTGCTAATGGGCTGGTTTTGGTAGGAGATACAAGCATGGAAACACCCCCTACGATGCAAGGTGAGTCGCAGGAACACCTGGCAAGTCTGCCGATTAGACATCACAGACTTCTCAAACAAGACATCAGAGCTCTCTTCCTCCTGAGGACCCAGCTAGACAAAGAGAAAACATCAGTTCAGCTAAGAACATGGTCATCTCCACATAAGACTGGGTAAGGACAGCATTTCACTTACCTCATGGATGGAAAGGCTGTAATTGTGCTCATCTATCAGGGATACAGAATTGCTGGTGGGATTGTCATACTCATCTCTGGGAACAATCTGTAAGGTGTGTTTTTGACCACAGGTCAGAACCAGAGTGGAGAAGTGGCAAACAATTTTGGTTTTGGAAGGAACCACCATCCCTGAAACAGAAAAGCAGTTTAGAATTAGAGTCCTAGGTATAGCTACAGAGGAATAACAAAAAGCTATGTCCCTACTTCTGCATCCCAAGAACCAAGCAACTGAGCACTGAAATGAAGTGGGAAAGACAGTTTTCCAGAGGGCAGAGACTCAACACTCTCAACACAATTAGTGTGCAGGGTCTAGGTAAAGAAATGTTCTCCACTCTAGTCCTCAACTCTGGAACTCATCCTCACTGCTGATCCAGGGGACAGATCTTTTGAAGTTCAAGGCAAACTCCAGGACTCACCTAGTCTCTCAAACTTTAACATGAAGGCAAACTGGGAAAGCTCCAATGTGATGCTCTGTGAGAGGGGTCTCTTAACAGGCATTGTGCCTCTTATTGTACATGCACACAAGGTATAAAAAAGCTAATGAGAGTTTAAAAATACCTAAAAAAAGTTGTAATTAAATTTTAAGAAAAAAAAGTGTATTATGGAGCTCTCCCACGTTGCAGGGGTTTAGGTTGTAGCCGTGTTGGTCTAAGGATATAGACAGACAAGGTTCCTTGGGTGAATTTGATATCTTTTATTAGACCAACCCAAATGGTTGGAGAATAGTTATTAAGTAAGCTTTCGGGTTCAAAAACCCTTCGTCAGGCTCAGGAAGCTGCAGCAGTTGGTGTGTGCTCTTCCTGGATGGAAGTGTTTCGGGTGATTGCTGGTTCTGTGCAGATATGTATGTTGGTCTGTGCAATCACCCGAAACACACCAAAAAAGCAGTGATATACAGCCAAGCCCTCAGATACCACCGCATCTGTACTGAAGAGAACACCCGGGATTGCCACCTCACCAATCTTAAAAAGGCTTTCACCCAGCAAGGACACTCCTCCAGAGAGGTAGATCGCACGTTTGAAAGAGCCACCTGGATACCACGTGAAGAACTGCTGCAGTACAGAAGAAAAACACCCACAAATCGCACACCGCTGGTTATGACCTATCACCCATCCCTTGAACCTGTACGGAAAATCCTCAAAAAATTGCAACCCATATTAGAAAAAGACCCTATTCTTAAAAAGATCTTCCCAGAGCCACCCATCCTAGCCTTCAGACAAGCACCGAACCTCGCCAACCTCATCACCAGAAGCAAACTTCCTCAACCCCAGAACACACCAAAAGGATCCAGACCGTGCCATGACAAGAAATGCAAAACCTGCCCCCACATCTCCACCACCCCCACTATTACTACACCCCACAACAGAGCCATCAGCATCCCAGGATCTTACAGCTGCACCTCCAGGAATGTAGTATACCTCATCCAATGCACCAAATGCCCTGATGGAAGATATGTAGGAGAGACCAGACAACAACTGCGCACCAGAATGAATGCACACCGGAAATCCATCAAAGACAGAAACACCCAATTACCGGTGGGGGCACATTTCTCACAGGAGGGCCACTCTCTCTCCAATCTCTCAGTCCTGATCCTCAAGGGAAATTTACACAACACATCCCAGAGATGAGCCTATGAGCTCCATTTCATCAACCTGCTGGATACTAGAGATCAGGGACTAAACATAGAGCACGCACCAACTGCTGCAGCTTCCTGAGCCTGACGAAGGGTTGTTGAACCCGAAAGCTTGCTTAATAACTATTCTCCAACCATTTGGGTTGGTCTAATAAAAGATATCAAATTCACCCAAGGAACCTTGTCTGCTTATGGAGCTCTCTACGCTCTAGAGGAGAGGAACAATTTAGAGCAGGGGTGGGCAAAATACAGCCCACCAAGGGATTTTGTCCAGCCCACAATGGGTCCCTCAGTCCCACCTGGTCCAGGCATGGGGGGAGGGCAGCCTGGGCTGTGGTGCATGCAGCCACTCCTTCCACCCCCAAGCACACAGCAGAAATGGGGCAGCATGGTGTCCAGACTGGCTTCCCAGCAGCAGCTCCTTCCAGCTACCACTGCCACCAGACCTGACCCTGCTGCCTGGGCACCCTAGTCTGTCTGCCTTGCACTCACTGCTGGGGGCAGGACCCGCATGGGTAGGGCTCGCAGTTGGGCAGATGGGATGGGGCTGTGGGTAGGAGGCAAGTGGTGCTCAGGAACAGGATGGGTGGGCAAAGCTGGGATCACAGGGCTGTAACCCCAGCCTTGTGCTGTTACTGCTTCAAGATCTCCAACCTGACATAAGATGCAACTCCCTGCCCGCCTGTGGCTCCATCCCATCCGCCTGGCAAAGCACCCTGCCCATGTGGGTCCCAGGCCGGTCTCCAGGGAGACCCTAGGATCACTGGGTGGTGGCAGTGTGTGGCCAGGGCCTGGGGCAGAGCCATAATCTGCTCCCTACATGCCCCTGATAGCAGAACCAGCATGTGTTGCAGGGGCATGCGGACAGCAGATCACAGCTCTGCCCTGGGCCCCAGCCCCACACTGTCACCACCCTGGGGGGAAGGGTGCTGACCCAACCCATGACAGCTCACCAAGACTCCTTATGTGGCCCAAAGGCCCAAATAATTGCCCTCCCCTGGTTTAGAGGATCAAAAAAAGATCTACAGTCAAACCAAAGTAACCAAATGTTACTAACTTTGGCTGGCACACAACAAATAATTATGTGCATAAAAGGGCATATCTGACCACTAGCTGGGTGTAAGAATTAAGTTTCACATGGTAAGATGCTAAGTGGCACCAACAGCCTACTCTGGGGTAAGGCAAATTTTATCAATACTTGCTGATCACAGTCTTACTACCCTAAATAATAGAGACTGTTGATTAGAGTATGTGAAAAGAACAGAATAAAGGAGGACAACTCTTCCCATCCACCCACATTTCTCAACTCAGCAATTAATACTCACTACCTGGAATATCTTGACCTTACCTGGCTGAAACAGTTTGTAGTAAGGACTGTAGGCCACATTCAAACCACCAAGTTTTATGGTGATCTCATATCGCCCAGCCCTGCGCACGGTGAATGCCACTTTCACCACATTGGAACTGGGCTCCTGAAGAACTTCCTGAGTCACAGGGATATCAATTGCTAGCTCCACATGGCAGATGTGAACTCGCAGTCCCACAGGCCGATGAGCAGGGAAGGGCTGTCCATTCTTATAGAATAACTACATAGGGAATGGAGAACCCCAGATAAGCACAGAGAGAAAGGAACAGTATTGCAATATAGGGCAATAAGAGCAGGACAGAGCCCTGCCTCAGCAAGGGAGAAGGGGGACAGCAAATGCAGGACCAGGCCCCAGCTCTAACACTGACAGGATACTCCCAGGTGAAGGTGGAACTTCTGAGCACTGGATCACCTTATTCCTTATTATTGTGCTGGGGGTCTAAAAAGTGACCTGAAAAAAACATGCTTCTAAGCAATTCATCTCTGAATCGTTAGTGGGCATCCAGAGCAGAATCAATAGACCCCAATCCCAAAAAGAGAGCAGGCAAAGCCACATCCTTATAGGGAGACCACTAGGTCTTGTCCATGTGTCCCCAGCAGAGATGTATGCAGGAGCCCCCACCAATTCACCATAGAGGAGGGTGTGTAGGAGACACTCACCCCAGGAGCTGACCCAGTCTGTGCTAATGAGAAGCAACAGCATAAAAGGAATTTGTTAGACTTAACCACGTCATCTTAACTATGAAAATGATCTGACGGTCCAGGGGAGGATGCCTCACCCCCCTTCCTGTATCCTCCAGACACGGAAGGAATTATCCCATACATCCCCTAGAAGCAGCACTCTGCTCCTAAACCCCAAACTGTGTGGATACAGAAACAATCCCTTACATGCACTCGGAAGGCCATGCTATGGCCCACCTCAAAGGGGTCCTTCCAATCCCAGGAGACTTTGCAGGACCGGGGGTCCAGGTAGTTGCCTCGCACGTAGTCATAAATAGTCCGCTCCCCTCTGCGCTCCCGGTCCTCATGCTGGAGGAAGCTGACTACACGTGCGGCAAGCTCAAAGAGGAACTTAATGGTGAAGAAGAAGGCTACCACAGACACTGTGATCCCACCTGCAGCAGAGAGTGAACAAGGGGTGGTCACCACAACATAGCTTGGTGAGGCACTAAGACTTCAACCTCACGGTACTGAATGCACAAAGCATGGTGTTTAGAAAGACACTAAGAAATTAGAGGTTTGATGCAGGAACTGTGCAACATTTTGTTCTCTATATTAGGGGTTTTCAACTTTTTTGGAGCAGTGTACCCCCAGAAGCTGGATGCGGAGCAGAGGGGGTGGCAGCATGTGGTCGAACGCAGAACAGCAGCAGCTGACATGTGCAAGCTTTCCCTGCCCCCTGCGTCCAGCCAGGTGGGTGGCACCTGCACGACTGCACAGGACACTGCGTGGTGGTGCTCCATCCCTGCCCGCCCGTGTGCACCCCCTAGGGCCTTCTCGTGTACCCTGGGTTGAAAACCCCTGCTCTACATTATGCCAGAGGTAAGTCTAAGGACCCTACAACATGTTACATATATTATGCAATTAACTGGTTAATCACGCAATAATTTAGCTTGGCCACACATGCAAAGCCAGACCAGCTACAAATGCAAAGTAATTATCACACAATTAACTGGTTAATTGTGCAATAAATTTAGACCAGCCACATGTGCAACATTATTATCACACGATAAAAATGAGTACCCAGCTATAAAAAGAGCCACCCAGCTATAAAGTTAATGCTTAAAAAGGTGTAACAACTCTATAACTGGTTTCTATCCAGCTTTGATTTGAATGTGAAGCAGGGCCCTAAGATGATCTTAATAGCCATGTAAAATTCTTGTAAAATTCTGTGAACAACTGCAACTTGGAGAAAGATGGAGATAGGCTTCCAAGCCTCCAATATGGCCCAGCAGAGTTTAAATAACACCCATGACAGATTCCCTTTGAGCATCTAAAAAAGAATTACTGATTCCAACATGACAATCACCACATGCAGTACTGAGACTGGGCTGCAAGCCATCAGAGAAGGAATAACTCTGCACTAGTTTCTGAAAGAAAAGTGGAGGGATGAGCTAGGTTTTAGGTCAATGGGATGAGTCTGCTTGGAGTTACAAAGGGCAAAAGGATGACAGGGAAAGACTGCCAGGCAGAGAGAACAGTGTGGTAAGACAATAACTTCATGTTTGTCATGTAAACTCTAAGCCTCTGAAAGGGTTCAGGATCCTATGGAGAGATGCAAAGACACAACAGCATTCTCTCATTGACTTACCAATAATGTAAAACATCAGGTCCCTTCGGTGAGACACACAGCCGAAGATCACAGCTGCATCTAGAACAGAAAATAGGCCAAGGCCAATGCAGTGATGCTTCCTCGCATACACTGACCTGAGCATGGCCTTTTGCTTCACATCAAACAAATATCTAGTGCCTTATGGCTTAATAGGGGAGCAGAACTTACCTCCTGTCTATTTGAAATGCTGTATGTGGAAGCTGAGAAATTGTCTTCCTTCCCTAAGATCCCTAAAGCAAGATACCAACAGGCTGTGAAGATGCAATCAGCCTAGCAATCATATTGTAAATTCCTGTTTAGAACCTGGGATATCTAAAATAATGATACAATGTGAACCAAAGAGAATGTACTGGGAGTGAATAAAGAAGCTTGGTGTACTGTGATACACAGCTATGCTATTAGCTAGAGGATCACCACTTGCAACAGTGATGGCTGCAGATTGTTCACACAAGCCACCAAGTAGGTTTCCCTGGGCCTCTAGCTATTCTCTGTTATGCAGACAGACCACAGAGAATCACCAGCACAACTGCTAACAATTTAAGCAAAAAGTTTAAGGAATAAATGATCATGGATAAGAATCCCTTCCCTCTCCAACAGGGAATCCCTAGCAGAGGGCTGAAATGCATATGACTCTTCCAAAACAGAGCCACAGAATAGGACAGAGAAGTGCACCTGTATCTTTCTCATTTCAGCAAAGTGGAAACACCATATACATCCTATTTTTCCAAAGAGTACAGAAGTGGCCCAGGGTCCCTACTGTTATAGCAAAGAGGTAGTGCAGGGATCAATGTGTTCTAGAAGCTAGAACCTGGTCTCAGTATATTATTAATATTATAGCACTGTTTAAAGGCCCCAGTCAGGGATCAAGTTTTCCATGGCCTAGGTGGTGTACAAACATGTTGTGAAAAAAAGAGAGTCTCTACCCACAAAGCACATGCAACTGTGGTTGAGAAGATACAGCCAATGGATGAAACAAAAACAGCTAGGGGTGGTAACAACACAGACAGACACTAACACATAAAATGTAGCTTACCACCTCACCAGCCATTAAGTAGAGATTTACATTCTGCATACTAACCCACACAAAAGTGGAGTTACTTATCTTGTCAGCTGTTGTAACAGAAAAGGGCACCAGCATGCAGGAAACCTAAGCTTGACATTTCCTTGTCTGAATGGCATCTCCTTCCAGCCCTGCAAATCCTTCCTGCTAGCCTCAACCAGTGCGCACCCTTCCAGTTAATAGTAATGGCATACCTTTACATGACTGCCCACATTCTAAAAGCCAACAGAAGGGCACCCATGCCTCAAGTGTCCTTCCCCTTGGCACTCAGAGGTGGGGCAAAGGTCAGCAGAAGTAGTCCAAGCAAAAGAACATAATGGCTCTTGGAACCTGCATTGCAGTCACAACTGGAGGAAGAGAACACAAGTGCAGGAACTTCTCCCCCAGTATGGAAGAGAATATTGTGTCCTGTTACACTCAGAAGCTTCCAGATGTTTGCTGGTCTTCCTGAGGAAAGAGAAAAGGAAAACAAATTAGTTATGTTTATCCATGAATGAGGAAAGCCTAGGCAGAAGGACTACATGAAGGATGTAAAATTCAGGAGCCACAAGCGTAGCTGCAGCAAAAGTGCCAGTGAAGTGCTAGGCTCCACCGTACTCCAAAGTTCTGAATGTCACTACGTCACATTTCAAGATGTCACCCAAACACACAGGGCCAATTACCTGAAACCTACCCATTCCAAGATGTAGCAAGCCAGTGCCTGCCCAGATGGAATCCAACAGGCTGACAGCATCAGCAAAGCAACCAGGTACCTGCCCTGTGCCTCCCATCCTGGAGTCAATTCTATGGACCGTGCACTGCTTGACCCTCCCAGGGAAGGACAGAGATGAAAGAGTTAAGCTGAAAAGTACAATACAGTACCCTCCAAAATGTGACTGCACCACCTTCAGAGAAGGCTGCTCAGCTACAGGGACTTTTTATACACGGGGCAAAGGTTTCACAGGTACTTGGGCCCCCAAAACAGATGGAATGAATCTGCTGTAGCCACTTAGGAGGGGTCACACAGTTAAGCAGAAGATACTTTATCCTCAACACCACAGTCCCTCTGCCGGAACTCTGAGTTATAAGAGGTTACATGCATCTCTCTGTCTGGACCTAGGTAGAGAAATGTGCAGCCTTCAAAGTATAGGAAACAGGCCAGCAGGTCATACAGCCTACCTAGCTCACACAGTCATTCAGAATGCAGTGTGGAAAGCAGACAAATAAATTAAGAATGCAAGGCATAGCACAAGTTCTCTCTCAGAATATTCTCACTGTCAGGCAGCTAATTGGGGTGTTCCCCTATATAATTCCCCACACCACCTGCTGCTGCCCCTGCCGCCTTCTCATGCTCCCAACTTGCACTCCCCTCCACTTCACCATGTTTTCCTTCATCTCCTCAACCCTATCTAGTGCAAGGAACCTGCTGTCTTCCTTGACCTCTGCTCCAGGACATCAACCTCTTCAGTCACATAAGTGAACACACAGGCAAATCTGTGCAGACTTCTTTAGTTGTGTGGCAGAAAAATCCAGTCTCCTGCTCCCTCTCCCTCCCCAAAATCTCAGGGAAAATCCCACCCACTCAGCTATTTATTCCTTCTGGCTGAGTGAACAGAACTGAAGTCCCCAGGGCACAGTGCTTACTCTCTTCCCTATATGCAGTTTCCAGCTTCTGCCCTTTTGGTTCTTAATATAAGATGACAAAAGCTACACATCTAGCTATTCCCTTATGATTTGGGCTGGGTAACTGACTCATGGTTCTCACCCCAAACCTTTCATGGTGTGTACTAGAGACACCACCTCCAAACCTGTAACTCTTTAAAACTAATTCCTTTGGCTTACCTGATACTCAATTTCAAACCTTGCTCCGCAAGAGCCAATTTGTTACAAGGTCCCCTTCACCCAGAGGTATCGATGGTTTTGAAGCTGCAGTTCAGGCTAGACAGGAATATATTACAGGGCATAGTTTATAGGAAAGTTTCTAAAACAACTAGCTCCGGTTTCTCTGGCAAAGAAATTCTAGTGGATTAACTGTTTTCAAACCCAGTATTGCATT